TGGTTTTGTAGAGAATTTCAAGCACTATCTTTTGATAATAAAGAGAGCTTTAATTACAGGGATAATAGAGAAGAAATCTTAAAAATACTGAGAGGCCCATTCTTTCTGGGACACCCGATATGTTCAAAGAACAGCTGCAAATGCTAAGAATAGAGGTCGTCTCATTCTGAATGAAAAACCCATTATTGAACTTCTTCGTGCATATGCCTCGAAGCACTCATTGACTTATGTACAATATGATCATTCGAAACATGATGCTCACGTTAGAAAACAAGTCGAATTATTTTATAATGCTCGTATCATCTTCGGTGTGCATGATGGAGCTTCAGCGAATATGAATTTCGCTCCATCAGGCATGATTATTATTGAATTAATGCCTTATCGATCTGATAAAAGTTCATTACCGATTGTTTGTTTAGTGTTTGATTCAAATGAATTTAGACCATGCGGTGGATATAGTTACTATGTGCAATCTCAACTACTCAATCAATCCTATTGGATTTTGCCAATTGTGGTTGATAAGTACGGCAATCTGAATGTCAATTTGACTCGACTTCAACAACTCTTTGATTTATTAGTTTGAACTAGCATGAATACTTTGCTCAAATCATTTATGTACAAATGGAGTGTCATGAACTGTACTTATAATTGGTCTTGTTACTGTATAAAAATTTTCACAAATAATAATAGGACTGTCAGTAAACAGATTTTCTTTTTTGCTGTCTTTCTATCTTACTAGCAGCATATCAATCATTGCTATCACAACGACAGCGATCAATGGACGTTAAAAAATCGAGGCCTTCGTCAATCATTGATGACTGCTCTGATATGATTGATTTATCCAGAACGATGTTTTTTGAGAATTAATTGACAACTTTGAATAAAGAAAAATCGTTCTTTTCATAGCATGACTAAGTGTGTGGGTGAAGAAAACATTAATATGTAAACTCACACTCACAATCACACCCTTTTCTTCTTTCTCTTACTTCTGTATCCATGTGCAAGGTCATGGTCCACAGAAAACAGCGAAACTGTGAATGTTGTTTGGATGTGGGTGTTGGTCTGAATGTGGGCTGTGGATGCGGAAGAATACAAAATTCACACCCACCCAACTAGAAAGAAAGGTGATTTTACATGAAACTTATAGGATGAGCTAATAACTCTGAATCAGTAATTGCTGAAAGTTACGTATTAAACAACATGTGCTCTTTAATTGGGCCAAATGACAACAAAACATTCTCTGTTCTTTTCTTTAAACCCTATATAGTCCAAACAAAAACTTCCCTTGTGAATTTGTTGCAAATATATTTTCTTGATCCTACTGTCAATAATAAATTATTATTAGCTCTCAAAATAGTAACTTGATCGTTGTAAGCTTATGGTTGCTGGAAATGATCTATTTTCGATCGATGTACAGTAATATATCCAAAGTTCATTTCAGAGGAACATTTGTAATCAATCTGATAAGAAAGGATCATAAGTTTATCCTCTAAAATTTACTTTTTCTGCTGTGTCTCACAACCAGCATATAGCAAAACTATACCAAACCCAATACCATGAAAAATAAGAGTTTTGCTTTGGTGCATACCTATCTGTGGGTCATCCCTCCAATCAAACCAGTATACCCACACCCACCTCTAATAATATTAAAAATGATCTTCCGAGATTGAATATTTTTGCGAAAGTAAACTACGAAAACAATGTGTTAGCATTATTCAATGCTGGTATCATTAATAGACAGCCAATGAACCGAATTCATGCAGAGTCATCAATGGATTTTATTCATGTAAATGATTTTTAGTACAACAAACACACTGATAATATGAATTTTGTTCAAAAAAGTTCCTGCATAATATGTTGAGTTGATGTAGAGTTGAAATCTTGAATCTCTGAATGTCTATTTGTAGTTTAGTCTGGTTTGGTTGGCACCAAAGCTGGTTCTTCACGCATGATGATCTATGGATAGAACAAATGAAAGAAAGAAAAGAAAAGATTTTATGAATTAATTTCGTACCTGTACTAAAGTTTGTAAAAGCTCTTCTGGTTAGGGGTGGCAGTAGTTACTTTTGAAGTCTTTTTTGGTATTGAATGGTTTGTACAACAGTTTGACGCATTTAATCAAATATTTTATTTGCTAAGTTGTAGATCTTGACTTCAGCTATAAAT